GCACATTTATGTGGCTGCCCTTTTTAAGAAATCTAAGCAGCTAACAAAAAACATAGATAAAAACACACTTAAAAAAACATGAAACAGACCAATTTAAGAATGAATGAGGCATCTCACAATTGTTTGAGACAAAACATCCATGCTGGTATCTACTAGCATCCTGGCCCTAGCCAGGTGGTCAGGACCTTCTGGAAAGACAACAGGTTTGGGGGAGGCTGTTCCATAGGGCAGGTGCCATAACAGAGAAGGTATATCTTTTGGATCTTGCTAAATGACATTGTCATTCTAAGTGCTGCAGCTGAACCTACAACTCCCAGCATTACTTGCTATTGGGAGTGCTTCCTAGAATGCTTGGAGTTGCAGATCAGCAATATCAGAAAGACTATGCTGTTGCTTATTCATGTCCTAGTCAGATTCTCTGGCCATTTAGGTGTTTGAAAGGACACCTTGATTCTGTGAAATGCTTGGTTAATTTATAGTAGTTCTAGTTCCTCAAAACAATCAATCTTTGTCTTAAATTTATGTTGCATGAAACAGTTCTGTTTTTAATAGCATCTATCTGCAAATGAAATGTTGAACTTTCATTGAATTCTGTACAGTTTGTAAACCATTTATGACGTCTTTATTCCAAACTTGGAACATGCACAAATCTTCTGACGAGGCAGAAAACAAAGAAGAGGAAGAGAATTCTGATTACATTTACTGAAAATTTTCCCTTAAAGTGCTGGGGCTTTTTTTTCTAGAAAAACTAAGTTGCAATGGTGTTATGAACATTCTTATTGGTTTCAGAAGATAAAAGTTGTGTTCCCTTGATAGTAAAATACTGCATGTTTTGAAGACGTATTTTGTCTGGTCATGTTCCTTTTTAAATTTATTGTGGCATGAGTTATTTATTAATTTATTTATTTCATTAAACTTATTAGATTAGTCTATTATTTCACTTTATATTCAACAGTGTCTTGGATATGAGTAAGATCCATGGGATGTATGTAGGATGTATTTTGGCAGGCTTACTCCAAATTGTGCTTTAATTGTAAATGCATGGTTTGTTTTTCATTCCACCAACCCAATATGCTGTCTTCAGTTCAGGGATCAATTCAAAGTTTTGCTTACGTCTGAACCACAAAATGATCATTTCTCTTATTACAATTGAAAAATAAGTTTAAAAACCTATAGGATCAGCATATATATGCTGCTTTAGGTGCTTCATAATATCAGAAAATAAGACAGACATCAAAAATGTATGTTGGATAATCTTCTGTAGGCATTTGAATGGAGTGCTTCCTATTTTTTTAAAGAAGAAATGGTAAAGCTACTGGGATTTTTATTAATAACAATTAAGTGCCAGATTTAAATCTTATGAAATGTAGTTGGAATTGAACTGATCAATTGAATTGATCTGGTAGGGTTGGGGAATTCTGGGAGTTGAAGTCCACTCATCTTAAAGTGGCCAAGTTTGGACAACACTGGATTAGTGAAAATGATGCCATATACACCATGATTTGTCCAGCCAGCAAATAGGTAGCTTTTTCTGTTGGAAAAAACTCCAGGTGACAATACACAACAAAACAGCAGAGGAGTTAATTTGGGGGGTGGGGAACATCTGGAAAATAAGTCCAAAGTTGGGTCTAACCTGTATTTAAATCATATAACTAGCAGAGAGTTGCAAATTGTATAGAAACTACAGATTTTTTTTAAAAAAAATTTAATTTTAACAGGCTTTTGATGTGTTGATTCTTGTGAAAGACTACAACAGCTATTTATTACATGTATAGATTCATACATTTATTTATTAAATGTATAGATATGTGTAAACATACCTAGCTATATCTTCCTAAACAGGAAAACACCTGTTTCCTGATTATCACATTATATTCTACCTTTCCCACAGTTCCACCTTTCCCTACAACACCAACCCTATGAGGTAGGTTGGGGTGACTGAGTTACTGGCTCAAAGTCCCACAGTATGTTTTCATGGTTGAGCATGGACTAGAGCTTGGCTCTCCCTTTTCCTGGTCCTAGCCCAAAATCTTAACCACTACACTATATTGGCTAGCTTATTTATTGATTTATCACCATTTTAACCACAGTTTCATTGTTAAAAACCAATCCCAAACTGGGGAATTTCATAGAATTATTATGTATTATTTATTGAGTTAGCAAAAGGGCAATAAACTGTGAAAGTACTGAAACTGGCAGGTCCTTTCCCACAGCGAGAATGAAGAAGTAGCTGCTTAGGTTTTGGGAATTTCATCTGAAAGATGTGTTAGTCATTGTTTAATGATATATTCATAATTGTGTTTAGAGAAAATTCATCTGCCTCTTTATTATTTGGCATGTGAGTATGTATCATATGGAACTAATTAAGACCTAGTAATTGCAGCTATATAAATGAGGCCAAGGGACTAGACTATAGCATACTAAGAAATGTATACTAAAATCATAAAAAGGTGCTAGCTTAGCCTGTTAGGGCCACTGGTAGCTAAGATTTCCATGGAGAGAGAGCCTCACACAAAGACAGGCTTCATGTCACAAAGACCCATGGCTTGTTTGAGTTTGGCTTATTGAATAAACCACAGTTTTCTGGGTTCACCACAACATGCCACGCTAAAATTGAATAAACCCAATTATGGTGTAGCATGTATGAACCAGTCTACTTTTCCAGAGGACAGATTGTGCTGCATGCATGAGGTTTTTCTTAAGCCTTTCCCCCAATTTTAAGTGAAGGATTGTAACCTTTAAGAGGTATTATTTTACCCCAGTTAACTGAAGGAAAAATTTCAAACATCTCAAGAAAAGAAGCAATGAAATAATTTGCAAGCTTCAGGGAACAGACCATAATTAGAGGACCTACCCGGTATCTTTTAAGCAATCTGTTTTTTGTCTGTATGTATGTGACAAAGGCAAAAAAAGAAAAGAAAAGAAATCAGGCAAATCATTGCAATGCAGAATGATCATCTCTAGCCCAAGGGAAGTGAAAATATCTTAGAAGTGTGAGATTCTGTTGGTGAAAGATGCTCTTGTGGGCATTCAGAAAGATTGTCTTCTTTGACCAAGATGTCATTTGGCATTATTTCTTTAATGAGGTAACAGCCAATATCAGGTATTAGCAACTCTGCCATGATACTGAAATCTGTAATTGTTGGAATGGGCTAGAAGTCTCTTGTTTTATTCCTGAATCCCATTAATGGATGGAAGTGGCCTGTGACCATCTTAACTAATTTAATCTCTGGGTTGTATGTTCCTGGTAGAATAGAGATCTGGAATTTGCAAATCCTAGCTCTAAATTTGGTTACCCAGTGAACCAGCATGATTGAAAGTTTCAAAGTGCTAGTCTACTCAGGGGCCAACTTCAGCACTGAATTTAGGTATATCTGGAGGTGTCTAAGAAATCACTGTTCTTGTGAAATCTGAGGATTACATTCATATTTTAAAATTAGCTGGTAACTAAAAATTACCCAGTAACCAAAGAAACATGTTTAATTCCAAAAGAAGGTAGCTGTGGTTTTGTGAATTGGGAGAAATGGTGTGAGTGGGAACTGATGTTCCAAAGTATTTTTTAAAGAAACAATAACATAACCTTTCAAAAAATATGCACAAAGACAGGATTTTTATGTTTCCGTGTATGGTATGCTTACAAAGGACCAATCTAATTCTTGTTACAGTCTAAGAAGAATGCTGTGTCATATTGAAGTGTATGTATGTTATAATAATATAAAGTAGCTGTAGTCGTCGTCTTTGCTTGCCAAATCTGCCTTCAATGGACTGTAAGGATTGTGCCTGTATAATAAATGATAGCAACCTCAGGACGGATTGTAGTGTGCTTAACTACTGTAAAGTAGTGGGTTACTGTATTGCACTGAATGATAGAATTAAATTCTAAAAGCTACATTGAAAATTAAGGAGAATTAGTTTTTGCATTTTTAAACAAACGAAACCTATCACTTCAATAAACTTAATTTAGAAAAACAGTGTTTGTTGCATTTTTTAAAGTGCCATTTAGAGGTCTGTGTTGTGCAGATTGTACTATTGTACTATTCTATCTGTGGTTAACTAACAAAGTTTAACCATAAAAAGTGCAAATTCATGAACCTGAACAATTCTTCAAATTCCTAAGTGCCAGTTTAAGTATATTGGATAATAAGCCCGCTGATAATGAGTTGGCTATGATAAAGGAAACCTGTAAGTGCTATCTCTGTTTCACTCCAGAAAACAACGATATTGTTACACTGTATACTGTTTAGAAATATTTGTCAGATAAACCATGAGGAAATTTTGTTCTTTTTACATTGTCACATCCCTTCTATTTAATTGGGTGTTACTTCTAGAAAAGAATAATCCCTCGGTGCTGAAGGCCCCTCATGTAGCTAGTTCTTGATATTTTTGAGAATTTTCAATTTTTCCTTTGCAGGGCCCTGAACACAGCATGGAACTAGCAAAAAATCAGGAATCTGGCAGCATCTTTTCTGACTAACAGGTTTTATTAAAAGGCACGCACTTTTGTGAGCTGCAGTTCACTTCATCACTGTCTTTTAATACAAATTGTCAGTTGGAAAAGGTGCTACCAGAATCCTCCTGATTTTTTACCACCATAGACTAACATAGTTCTCCTCCTACAATATCTGGAACTAGCATTATCTCTCACATTTCTGAGGTGATGTTACAAGAAGCAGTACTGAAGTGACACCTTATTTTTTTCTGACTTGTGCTTAGGTGTGGTGGATTATTTGCAGAGTACCACGCCTTATTCTTTAATGTATGTTGCTTACGTCAATAGGCTGGAGTTAAAAGCTAGAGTAAATTCCCAAACTCAAAGCCAAAGGTGAGATTTGGACACTCTCTTGATAATTGTTGGATGTTAACTTTTTATAATAATTTTGGATTGCAGGTGGTTCCATGTCAGAGTTTCAGAGCTCGTGGGAATTATATCAGCAGATCCCAAATGATCTGGATGTTGGTAAAGTACCTCGCTTTCTTGCAAAAATATTCCTTTGAAGTAAAATATGATACTACTTCTGCCAGAGAGGAAAAATAAATTGTGTATTTTGAAATTACGTTGTCTCAGCCATTTTGAAAAGCCTGATGGACAAATGAAAATCATCTGCTCTTTGATTCTTCTTGAATAACTCAGGTTTTTGCATATATTTTCTTTGGTATTGGGATCTGCAGCTGATATAGGGCTGATTTTGAATGAAATATGATCGTTTTTCAGCTGTGACCTACTTTTTGTTGAAGTACAAGGGGGAAAGCTTTCAAAATACCTAAGTGCTTGTGTGGGTAAAAGATAGAGCTCTGAATAAGGATAATAATTTCTGATCTCACCTCTGCTGTGAGCTTAAGATGGACATCTCTGATTTTATGATGTCAGCCTTTTATTTGCAAAATGAAGACAATAGATGATTCTCTGCTTATTCTACATGTTGTCTTCTTATAGTAGCAAAAGTCATCAAAATGCTTTTCTACACACTTCTATATATTATAAAATGCTAAGCATTATTGCTACATATGTCTCCATGCTAGATATTATTAGCTGTATTTTTCCACTTGTACTTCATAACATTTGTGGTGGAGCACAAATTGTTTATGTGAGAGTGTGTGCTGATGTTAGAACATAACCATGGAAGGGGGGGGGGGCTTGAAAGGATGATAGAGACAAGGATTGTGAAGCCTAGCTTCATCAATAAGAAAAGCTTACTGATCACTTTTCTCTTAATCTCAGTGGAAGCCCTCCTCTGACATGGTAAAAAAAGACAATATTTCACCTAAGGAGAGATAATGACCCCCAATCATGCAGTTCCATTTTTCCCCCATGCAAAGGATTGTTTTCAGCAGAGGAAAGATTCCTTGGTCTACTCATGAATGTAGGATCATGAATTTTCAAGAGTCCTAACTTGCACGAAGACCTTCCATGAAAATAGAAGGCTGTCCTCTGCAAAGAGTTATTCTGCACATGGAGAGCAGTGGCAGAGGGGGTGGAGCTAACATCTCCTTCTGTATAAAAGCCTATATGCATTACAGGTGCCTGAAGGTTTCATTCTTAATGCAGTGGCTACAGTGCATGTAAGTGGTTGTTTTCAGCTCTGCTGATTTGGAATTCTGGAATCCTAACAGATTTGTGGTACTACTGGGCTAACAAAGACAATCTGAGCCTTGGGCTAGAATATGCTGTAAAACTTACTACATGGAACAGTGTTGAATAATGATTCTAGTGTTTAATCAAACCACATACAAAGAGATTGAGCAGTATGCAAACTTTTTAGGACCCTTAGAGTCCTCTTCTGGCTGACTGTATAGTGTATTGAAATCATGAACATTGGGCTGGTTGATAATACTTGTAATGTTTAACTGTATTAAATTAATAACAAACTTTTCCCAGTGTTGTAGAGAATCAATTATTCTTAGTTTGCTTGATAGTCTTCCATAATTGTGTTTAGGTTCTTCACAAACATTGGTCCAAGGGGATACCACCTGTCCCTCATTCTTTGTGTATATTCCTTTTGTAGATACTACTGGCTGCTCTATAGATATAGTTTCAGTTTTAAGAAAGATTTAATCAAGCCTGAGTTGCTAAAAACATTAACTTCTCCATCCTGAGTTATAAGCTAAGATTTCAGTTGATAATAACGGCTTCCACGGTGGTAACATTGGGGGAACTATTCTGGTACATGAGAAAATCTTTCAGACCCTTCAATTGTTTGTTTGTTTGTTTTTCCAGCTATAGGCAATCATTTACATGTAGACTTTATAGCCAGGTCAAAGAACTTTTAAGTTTAAATGCTTATCTTCCATTTATTAAATTGGATTTTAAATAGTCACATTACTCTCTTAAATCATTTTTACTCAGTGGAATTGTCGGATGGAATAAACTAACATTCCATCTGACAATTCCACTTTTGCGCTGAATGTAATCATGTAGCCAGTAGTGAAAGCAAAAGTCAGCAAATTTCCAGAAGGTTGCTCATAGAACGGTCAAGAACTTCTATGAGCAAAGCATTGTGGGATTTTCATTCATGAAAAAGCAACATGACATACATTAATTGCTTGTCTGAATGTCATTTCTGATATACATGAGACTTTAATGGAAAATGACAAAGATTAACAACTCGTAACTGGTTAGTACAAATTTAAACATGCAGTTAACACAGTAACTAATGAGTGCACTTCCTATTTGGACAGACGGTCAGTGTTTGCCATACTTAAAGGTCAGAATTTCCAGATAAGTGGAAAAGAGAAATTTGTGCAGCAGCCCCTTTTTATTTTTAAACAAAAACAAGCATCCTTTTCAAACAAATATTAGCTACCCTGAAGTGGCAGTGAGAAAGAGAGCAAGAAAGTAATGAGAATAAAGAGCACCATTTCCCTATCCCATGTTATATACCTTTGAGGAAAATGGAAAGTAAAACTAAATTCTTGCTTTTGGCTCAAAGTACAGGTGAAAGGGCAAATCCTTTTTTTAAAAAAAACATTCTCTTCCCACTGTGTTCTAAAACAAGGAATGAGGGCCATTTAGAACCAAATGTATAAAATCAGTTTTATTTTTTCAGAGTGTCTTCCAAAAAAATCTTTTCCACCCATGAGCCTCAGTGCCAGAATTGAGAGAAAATAACTTATGGGGCCATAAGCTGCAAAAAAATAAATGTGGGCAGAGGGAAGTTCATCTGCTCTTAACAAACAGAATTGCCAGCTATTAACATGTGGGTCTGTCACTAATACATATTATTTGAAGCCAGTCCTTTCAGATACAGATCTTTTTTTTTTTTAAACTGAGCCCACCATATGTTATGTACATGTTGCAGAACAGCTTTTAAAAAAAACCTGATGTAGAAGTGGACCATAAGAGATTTTCAGTAACTAACCCCTGATAAATATTCCAGATACTTGGCTCTCAGTTTTTAGCATTAATTGAAAAGATTCTGCTTCTAGTGGGAACATAAAAGAAACATTTGAAGGAATAAACTGTTGAGATACTTGTTCTGTCATCACTGTATGTTGTTAAGATTAATAAGAGAAGCAATGCGTGTAGTTCTCCTCTCTGTAAAGTGAGAATTAGAAGGCAGAGTTCTGACTCTTCCTTGCAATTCTGTTTCCTTTTCATGTGAAATCTCACAGTATGAAAAAGGAATTATTTTTCACTCTTTCTTTGTTTGAAACATCACCCTCCCCCAGATTTGGTATAAACAGTGGAACTATACCATGAGAACTTTTCTTTTGAAAAGGTAATGTAGGAATATCCTGGTTCTGCAATATTTATTTCCTGTAATTCAGCCATTTACGTGAAGGTGAGCAGACAAAACAGAACTTGTTGCAGGATATGTTTTTAGCATCCAGAAAATCAGGAATGTGTTTGTCAAGACCTGTACATCGTGAATGAAACATCTTACTGTGCTCAGGGAAATATTCATAACCAGTGTGATAATGGGATGAGAGAACTTCTTTACTGTGGCTATATTACGCAGTATATTTACTCTGAGTATATTCACTCAGAAATTATTATGATGAAGTTAGTAATCTTTACATTTCTTCTGTCATAGAAATGGAGCCCATGGCACCTTGTCCATCCTTTACTGATGCAGCCAATGACTTTGACAGGAACATTCCCCGGATCTGTGGTGTTTGTGGAGACAAAGCTACCGGCTTTCATTTTAATGCTATGACCTGTGAAGGCTGCAAAGGATTTTTTAGGTATGTGGTTTTTCTCTTAAACTAATACAGTTTTGGCTTATCTTTTTATTTATTTATATTTCAAATTTGGTCCTCACCCATCTCACTAGGTTTTATTGGACCAGCAGTTTCTTCTTTCTTGCCATCAAAAATCAGTCAAAAAAAGATGATTTCTTTTCTTCTTCTTAAACAAATGCAACAAAATGATAATATCTGTAAAACCTCTTTAAAGAAACTCAACCTACATATTTATAGTCTAAGGAAGGAAAAGGGCATATAAATTGTTTGGCCTCCAATATGGTGACTAGCTTTTAGATGGGAAACTATTCGATTAGAACCTCAAACTGAACTTATTCCTATAGTATTTCATGTATACAAAATTTGCTGTCACCAGAATAAGTTGGGACAGTGGGAATATTTGAATCGTTTTTTAAATGGAATAGAATGGCAAATGTAAATTCCATTTGGCATCTGTAGATATATGGATGAATGAAACAGGAATTAAAAATTGGGGTCTGTTTGATAGAGAATAAACAGAAGTAAAAGGTGAAACTGTTCAGAGTAAAGTTATCTAAAGCACTGTTCCTTCTTTTTTCAGAGTGTGGAAGTATAGTCTGTCTTTTAGTGAAGTAGAGAACTGGCCTCAGCATGACCAACTGTAATTGGGGATATTTTCATATAGTTCATATAGGAACTAATATGTTTCCTATTCAGGGGTTTGTTTCTACCTGGGTACAATATGAGTTTTCTTACTTGTTGCAAATGCACTCTGTTAATGAATACAAGCACAGTCCTGGGGAGAGGAAATAAGAAAGCAGCTAACTTTCATCACCTAATTTAATTCTGGCTAAGAGGAAATTAGCATTGCATATGCACTAGCCAAGAGTGTTCCAAGAACAATAATCAGTTTAGCATATTTCGTACATGAGATGCTTAGTTCTCATATAGTACATTTCTATCATTATGACATTTGAGGTTTTCCTGGGAACCATTGGCTTAAAATGATGCGTAATAGTAGCTATAATCAAGAGCTGAAGCATGACTAATGAAGGGAAATCTCACATGTATTTAAGACTACAATTGGAAGGTAAGAACAGCATTGATATGAGATTTACATAAACCCTACACTGGAATTCTAAAGGACAATTTCCTCTTAATGTGATTTTTTTTAATTGCAACATTTCTATAGGAGATGTATTTACTTTGCAAAATAGAAAATTAGATAGAAAGTTCTGCATACCATAGACATCGCATCCAGATTTCCAGTCAGGCTACAGTGCACTTGGCTAACCAGAACTGCAACATTTTCTTCAATTAGAGTTGCTTAAGTGAGTAACTCATCTGTCACAGGTGCATTTCCACACTAAGACTGGTGCCCTCAGCTAATCAATCATGCACTGTCTGTCCTAGACATGAAACACATCATGTTAGGTTTTTCCTCATGTTAATGGCACATTACCTGAAAGAACTGATAGGTACTTGGGAAAGTAATGAGTGCGGCTTTGAGAGCGAGTACTTCACTCCCTATAGCATGTTGTCAGAATGTAAACAATTCTTTCAGAGGCATTCTGAAAATCATAACTTGAATTTTTTGACTAAGGAAGATCTCCACCTTTCATAGAACACATGTGTAACTCAGTGTTCCCCAACAGTATGGCAGCTAAGGTACAGTGCTTTTCTGAAATAAAAACTGAAGACTTACCACTAGCAGTGTCAGTACCCGCAGAACATGGGGTCATTTAGAGCCAAGGAGTTGTACGCTGAGCCCTTAGAGCTGTGGGGAGGCCGGCGGCAGGAGCTGAGTGGTCTGAAGCAAAATTGGTATGATGCTTGGGTCACTTTGTGTCACAAAAGGTTGCTTTGAGTATGAAAGAAGCAGAGCCTCAAAGCCAAAAAGATTGCATACCCATATCATAGAGTAATAACTTGTGTAGAGATTCAGTGGAAGAATCTTTATTGGGCTTTGGAGTGTGATCAAATAATTTCTAGTGCACAAGGGAACATTCAGAAGAGAAGATTAAGACGAAGCAACTTTCTTTGGAAGTATGAGCAAGTCCTGTTAATGTGTCTCAATGTATACTTTGTAAATTATTGTTCTAGGCCTATAGTTAGATTCACCTGAAATTAGTTTTTGTTTAAGAAATGTATTAATTACATGTTATTAATTTAAGATACATTTGTCAAGAAAATTGGTTCTGTGCCTTGGGAGATCCAATGCTTTCCAGAATTTTTAACAAAATGAAAGAGGGATTAACTGTGATTAGCTAGAAGCTAGTTAGCTAGAAGCTAGAATACAATAGCTTTCTTAAGGACTGGTTTGCTCCCTCCTTCTTTTCTCTTCCTCCGGTGTGGGTGGGAGGAAGAATTTAGAAGTTGTAACTTTTACTTTACTGTAGTCTAATCAAACTTTGTGTTACAACCAAGCTGGAGGGTGTTTAGTCTTTTGTTGTCAACTGACACAAATGAATATGATAGGTTATAAAGTTGGTTTATTTAAAGTAACCGTGATGTGGGCTTGGATACATGCTTGGAGAAGCGACTGAACTGTGACAGTTTTTTCTCCACTGCTCAGAGTACCTTTGCCCAGCTTTGTCAGCATACATGTGATTATTATCTCTCATTATTTGAAAGATTTAAAAACTTACCATGTGGCAGTTTTAGGGTTTTTTTCCTTAGATTCCCATTATTCTACTTAAAGAGTTTCTTTAGATCAATTATCTCTGATTTCCACTGTTACCTTTATTCTGCATCAATCTACAGTTTCTTGTTGAAATGAATTTTTGCAGCAATCTTAAATTATCTCTGTTTCTTTAAATGAATGGAATCATCTGTCTCTTCATTCCTCTTATGCTTTTTACCCAAGCTGCGTCTTAGACATTAAGCTTTCTGTAACATCACCACTGGGAGTAAATTCAATAGTGGTGGGATATAAATGCAATAAACCAACCAATGAATACATGATTTCTAAATACACTCCAGGCAAACTAATTTTCTGGTGTGAAAAGCTTTGGAAGTGGAAGATTGCAGACCAGGATCTCCATCCCAAAACTACTTTGTGTAAAGATGCTGAAACCAGATTTGCTGGAACTTCATATCCATAATTGTATTCTGTATTGAGCCTACATTTCTACTGCTAAACTTGTCTATATGAGAACTAATAAATTCTGTAAAACTTGTCCACATATAGTTAATACTTTAAAGCAAGACACAGGGCACCTCTTCACACCTGTGTTAATGTGCGTTCTTCCCAACCTTGAATTGGCAGAAATGTCAATATGACTTGTGCTGACTCCACTGCAGAGCTTTACTGTGCCTCTGCAGTGTAGACAGGGAGTGGTGCTGTCCTTACAGAGTGAACATGGGACAGTTTCAGGGCAACACTAGATAGATTGTGTCACCTCCTGGTGGCAAAAACAATGACAAATTCCTCTCCAATAATGTGTGGCGTGAAGGGGGCTTGCAGCAATTGCCTGAAACAGAGGGTTTAGACAGTTTCAGGTTGCCAGAATGGTCTTTTGGAAGGCAGTTATTTTTTTAGTGGCAAGTTGGTGGCCCTGAAGAGAGCTTGCAGGTCTCTTCCTGCATCACAGTGTGTCCCTACTACATGCCCCATCACCCAGTCAGCTGGTTGAGGGTTCTTTTATCTTTGATACAGGAATATCCAGCTTCCAGAAGTTGGACATGTTAACATGGATATTTTATTTATTTATTTATATTTCAAATTTGTCATCTAGGCATTACGTGGACAGATTCCCCTGGCAAGCCAGGTGTCTGGTCTATCTCCGTTTCCCCACTTGGGAGCTGACCACATGAAATGTTGCTTTAGGCAGACATTCCTGAAGTGGATAATGGGAAATAAATGTATCTGGATACTCACCACCTATAATAGGCTGGGTACTGCCCTCAGACTATTATATGTCTAAGGTAGACATGACAGATGATGTGAAAGAGGATGAAAGATACTGAAAATAGATCATGAAGAACTGAACTGAAGGCAATGAGTAGAGCAGGTAAAAACAGTTATCAAAATAATGAGTGAATGAATATATAAAATGAAGTGAGAGAAACCCTTAAATGTCTGAATATCTTTGCTTGCAGATTTTGCTACATGTTAAAATGGTTAACCAGATATCAGGCATGATTTGAGCTAGATAAATAATCTTACCTCCCATGTTAGGAATGAGAGATAGTGCTACCTTGTGTAGTCTACCTTCTCTTTTACCTGAGCGCTAGACAAAATATAGAATTTTCCTTCTTCCTACTTAATAAATAGCATAATACAAGCTAGGGATTAATATCATAGGAATTGAAATTTCTGTTAGCTGGTGATTTTGGGAAGGGAGAATCACAAACAATGTAATACTGTAGCTTCACAGTATACGTCTTATTAAACTTTTAGTTTTGGCTCATAAATGTGGCAGAGCAGTGAAGGCTAAATGGTCAAGGAGGTTTGAACTTCTGTGCCTTGAAATCAACTCTCTAAGGTCTTTTTCTGAAAACATATACTAAAGGAAAGTACAAATTGCTGTGCCTGAGATGATGATAGCTGCAGGAACATCAGTGGTATGAGTGATAGAAGCCTGAATGTATCAGAAACAATAAGTGACCTTGAAGTGAAAGACCATTATCTTGATGGAAACCTGCAAGGCATATTTTGATGGAAACTTGCAATAGGCTGTTTCAAAGCAGCAGTAATGATATTTTGATACCCAAAGAGGATGTTAAAAACAAGGTGCATGCCAAGGGACTGCCTACCCTCTGGACATTTTCCTCTCCTGAGCATGGGTTTAAAAAAGGCTGCCAATTACCTTGTCCTTCATCCTTTTTGTGAAGGACTGTAAGAAATGCATATCTAGCAGAGAAGACTAACTAATTGCTGCTCAGGCATGTGTATTTTAAACCAGAACTTTGCTCCATAAACATTAGGTCCTTCGTAACAAATCCTTTAGATATCTTGTAAAATTGATGTCGAGGCAGTTTGTTTCCTGCTGTTTCTATTCTATTGGGAAATAGTTAAAATCCCTTTAATCTTTGGACAGGTTATATTAGATTCTCTTCTTCATTCTGATAACCCTTGACATCCCTTGTGATTGGTGATAGGGTCAAGGTACTAGGCTAACTTGTTTTTACATCAGATCGTGTTTATATAAAGTCAATCACATTTTTTTTAAATCTGGCACTGTGGGTATAGCATTTCTGAATTTAGAATAAAGTAGAAAATCTCCTTGCCATTGTGATCATTTTGTAATGCCAGTGGAGTGTTTTATTGTGTTCTAAGTGTCTAGGCGGCATGTTGTGTTCAGGAAGAGGCGTAAAATGCTGCAGTACCTCTTTCTCCTCCATCATTCGTCAGTAAAGATGATTGTCTAGATTGTCTCTTTAGCTTCTCCTTCCCTAACCCAATGTTCAGAGTCTTCTCTTTTAGTAGGTATGGGTTCCTTTCCCATTTGGCAGAGAAAAATATAAATGATCTCAATTATTTTTAGCTCAAGATAGGTTCTAGTGAAGTATAGCTGAATGTTAAAGTAAGAATTTCACTAAAGCAGAGAATATATAAGGGTGAGGTGAAGGTGGTGTAACCATACAAAGGTTAAAATGACATTAGACAAGGTGTTTACCCTAAGGCAGTACAGGCAATTATGTGGCAGATAGGAGATGACTCAGCTATCAGGAAGAGGAGGTAAGGATATTAGATAGCTACTTTACAAATTTCCATTTTTGATTCTGTAGCTCTTATACACCCAAAAGAAGTCAGTATGTTCTTCATTGATTATAGAAAGGCCTTTGATTGTGTCAGCCATGTCAAGCTGTGGAACATCCTTAGAAAAATGTCAGTCTCAGAACATTTCATTGGCTTTGTGCAAAACCTATACACAGGACACAAGGCTTCAGTCCAGATGGAACATGGTGAAACAGACTGGCTCCAGGTCAGCAAAGGAGTGAAACAAGGCTGTACATTGTCTCCTTATTTACTCATCCTATATGTTGAACATGCATTGAGAGAGGCTGGAGTGGAAGAAGATGAATATAGTTTTAAAATTGGAGGAAGAAATATTAATACAGGTAGTCCTCGTTTAGCGACTGCCTCATACCACAACTGTTTGCAGTAACAACAGTGATGAAAAATAACTTTGCAACCAGTCCTTGCATTTACGACCTTTGCAGGTCTGTAAAGCAAAAGGAAAGCTGAAGTAAGATTTGTAAGCACATTTGGAATTTCACTTAGCAACCACTTTGCTTAACAACCGAGTTGTTGGTCCTGATTATGGTTGCTAAATGAGGACTACCTGTAGCCTGCACTATGATGATGACACTCTGATAGCTGAAAAGGCAAATGATTTGGGAGCTCTAGTAATGAAAGGCCCAGAGCACAGTGAAAATGGAACTAAGATTAAGTATCAAGAAGACCAAACTAATGATGACAATAATCAGCCTTGGAATTGATGAAGATATTGAAGTGGTGGGTAACTTCTACCTTTTATAATTGACTATAAACAGTAAAGGAACCAGCAATCAAGAACTGTGCCACAGATGAGGACTTTGTAGGATAGCAGTGAAGGGCTTGGAAAAGATATTGAGATGTTGGGATGTGCCAGTGCCCATAAAGATCAGAATCATGCACAGCATTAAGGAAAAACAATTCCGTATAGATTGTTACTGAAAGTAAATGTCATTTATTATTTTATAACCCCTTCTAACACTAGAAGACAACTAATTCTTTATAAAATACTACACTTGTAGCTGTTTATAAATGGTCATTAGAGGCAAGTAAGAAGTAAGTTGTTCAAGACCATAGAGAGGTCTGGAATTCCAGTTCAGAAATGTCAAAGGAAAACTATCTTTATGACACAAATTAAAATTAGTTAAACAAAAAGTATTATTTTATCTCTGTCTGATACTTCTGAGTTTTTTAGGAAAAAATTGATGGATTCAACTAGCTATTGAAGACATGGTGCTCATGAAAACATGCAGTCATGTACTATTCTTGGCTTCCTTTTTAGATAAAACGTATTTTACATATTAATTTAGTTCTAGAGGATTCACTTATTTTTGTATATACTCTTTTTTGGTATTTTGGAAACTAACAAGAAAAGAACAGAAATGGATATAGTGTGCTTTTATGGTTGAGAAGATATGATACTACAAGGCTGGAAGGATATCCATTGTCAGTCAGTTAAACAGTGATCTGAAAAACTCACCTCTATAGCTGAACAAGTATTTTACCAACAGGAGTTACATATTTGCTCAGAAATTTAGAATGGAATATACTAGTTTATATCCTTAATTGGCCATATTTTTCCTATGCTTATCTAAAAGGACTTAAACATTAATAATTTAGTTATATAACATGGCATTAATATATATTAAGATGGTTTGTTTAAAATATAAGAGGTGGGGGTTCGTGAGATAGATAGAGTGTGTGTGTGTGTGTGTGTGTGTGTGTGTGTGGCAGATAAAAATATACTTGGGGTGAATAATACCAGACAGTTTGTGTGCTCTTCTTGCGTAAGAGTGGTGAGAATGTCTACTTTGCTTGTATGGAACATGTAATTTTGTTGTCATTTTGTAGCATAGACCATAACATTTTTAAAAAATATAGTTTCATAAGATACTTTTAGGTTCCACTTCTACGATGTACTGAAAGCATTAAAACTGAATCAGCTTCCTATTCCGATTGCTATTCACAAAGTGGCATTATGAACTGGCACACAATTCCATCCTAACACATTTTACATTGTAATTTGGCTAACACCAAACATGTCCACTTAGATGAAGAGAAACTTATTCCAAAAGCAGGGAATGGTCTGGATGCAAGCCCTTTCAACTATATTCTGGACCCAAAGAGGCAAAAGGAAATTCAACAGCGGTTGAGGCATGATGATTTCTTAAAATAGTGAAGGAGAATTTCAGGCTTCCAGGGTTGCATGGTGATTCCCTGTTGGGACTCAGGAAAAGCTTCTGATTCCTATTTGGTGCTACTCTGGTTGGTTTTCTGAATTTCTTTGGCCAGTAGATGTGTGAGGTCATCTCCAAATGATTTGGTTCAACAGAGTCTAACTAGTCATTTAAATAAGGTTAAACACTAGGCAGCTTCATTCAAAGTGCAAACAACATTGACTTAGTTTTCTGGCTCTTTATAGAACACATTTTTATGTACTTATTAATTTATTTTAGGAAAGAGACATGTTTGTATAATTCCCTTCAACACTAAATGCTATTTATACTGTCACCAACATTTAGGCTTGTAATATTGCCCTTTCTTCTGCATGCTCTATGTATTCTGTGCAGATACTTGGCATGCTTGCATGGCAGAGGATTGGTGGGTTTTTTTAATCCTCTGACATGCCCATTCAGCTTGTTCAAATGTCTTGCATGTGGGATAGGCAACTGTGATTTTCAGTAGAAGATAATCCCTATTTAATCATCTAAACATTTAGGCTAAACATCATATTCTATACTGCCATCACACCAAACACTTGGGGATATAGTACATGACCGATAGCCTTTTAAGCACTGAGCTTAGTGAGCATACATTAATTCACAGAATGTCTGATGGAGCGGGCAGCTTATTGTTAAACCTTGAATGGATATATTGCAATGACAAGCTTTCAAAAATACACATCAGGTGTGATTCAAGTTACATTACCCCACTTCATTCTGCATTCATTGATGACAGGTTTGAAATCTAAGTGTTGTGATTTATGTTTTCCAACCTTTTTTATGTTTGTTGTTATTTTGTGACTTGATAAATCCTCCAGTGTACTTGCAGTTGCATTCTGAGTCCGTTTCATGTATCTGAGAAAGCAAGTTTATTGCCTTTGAAAGCTCATAGGAAAAACCATGTAGTCACAAGTCATGACTGTGACTTGAGGGAGAGATGTATATATTGTCTCCTTCTATTCAGTTTCTAAATAGTTCTCTACATTTAAAGATGGCTGTTGGAGCCATTTGAACTGTGGTTAATGCTTTCCTGTTTATTGTACAAGCTGTTTGTTTGACAAGAAACTCTGTTTTCCTGTAGGCAGTCCATAAAATATTAAATGATTGTTGCAAAGAAAACCATGAAGACAGGCAAATTGTTAGTGTCTTCTAAGTATAATAACAGAGCAGATTTTAAAAATATCCAGATTTCTTAGAAACAGAACTGTAGTTACACTGGAGATATCTGTCCTGTGCTTGGTGGTAAGCTATGCGTGTTGCTTTTTAAGGGACAGCTCGTTTTGTATACAGATCTTCCATACTGTTTATTTTCAGAGCAGTATCTATGCAGAAACCATAAATTACCCTATCAATGAGTAAGCCAACTTGATGTATATTCTGTTTACTTTTTCAGGAGGAGCATGAAAAGGAAAGCAATGTTCACGTGTCCATTCAATGGTGACTGTAAAATTACCAAAGATAACCGGAGGCACTGCCAAGCTTGCCGGCTGAAGCGTTGCATTGACATAGGCATGATGAAAGAGTGTGAGTAAATGTGTTGCATTCTCTTCTTTGTGCGAGAAGTTTTGGAATAGTTAGTAGTTTGGGCTTCTTTCTTTAAAACCTTTAGGAAAATTCCAGCTTCAGGTTTCCAGGCACTCATTCACTCTGTCTGTCTGCCTGTCTGTGTCTACTTCTCTCTTTCATTTAATGGGATACCTAACATTCTCCTGCTGGTATAGGTAAAACAACCCCATCTATTTTCTTTATAGAGACTACTACAAAGTTATCAAAAACTTTTGAGGAGTACCACATAAGCCAAGAGTCAACAATATGGCACCTGTGAGAACCATCACACACTTGACACTGCCATGGCATCAGTGGGATGCTGCAATTATTGCTACTTCCTGAAATCTTATGAGATTTGGAGCAATAAATGCCAAATACTGTAAGACTTTAGGTGAGAACAGCTTTGGGCAATTTAATTATTTTTTTTACTAACATTGGCATTCATACCAGGGATTTCTTGAAGTATCTATGCAGACTACCAGTGGTCCCTGAGACACCGATTGCATATTCCAGTCCTAGAGGAAAATGTATTTTTGTAGCAGTACTGAGTCCAAAGCCACATGTGCCTGCTTAACTTTTTTAGTTTCATCATTAAGAAAGTTTTAGCTGAGGAGAAAAATAAATCAGATTTGTCCAGATGGACGGGAGTAATGGATCAATAGGCAATTTAGAGTTCCAAAATGCTTCTAGTCATTTGCAGTACCTTCAGATACTTTGACTGTGATGACGTATGAGGCAAGACAATATATTGTTGATCCTGTTAGGCTGCAGCAGAGAAATGCAGTTTGGAGAAAGGAGTGCTGAGTACAAAGCAGGCTTATTGTTCCTGAGGGCTATATCGACTTCATGGTTTGGTGACATCTTTGGGTTATGGCTATGGTGAAGATACTTTGTAATGATTATTAAAACAGTTGCACTATCAAGGAATTTTACTTTAATTATATACATCTAAAATACAAGCATATGTTGTTTTAGTCAATATATGTAACATTTTGTAATCACTTCTAAATTACATTCTTAATTATTTCCTAAAATGTACACCATTTACCTAGTGGCATGTGTGATTATTACCAGTATTATTCTAAACAGTCTAGAGAATATAAATTTTCATCCCTTTTTTTTCATGTTACCACAAATTCACTTGATATCAGTTCCTCTACCTTGTTCTGCCTCAGCTGTAGATATAGATTTCTGGAAACCAGAGAATTCTTAGCCTCAAAATCCAAAGCCTTGCTTCCTGAAATTTGAGCATTCTTTGTCAGAAAACTAGGGCTACCAGATCTAGTCAGCAAATATCTGGACAACCATGAGATGGCAGCACAGTAAAATAGACAAATACATCCAGTAGTTGCATGGATTCTTGCAGCCCAGGTCTGATAGCCCTAAGGTAACCGTAACTAGCTTTCCTAAATATGGAAAGAAGTAGACATCAGGAAAACTAGTAGTCTGGGGAAATGAGCAGTGAAGGAGCTGTTACAAAAAGTTGGCAGCAAATCACTAAATGTGAAGTAATAGGTTTAAGGTAAAATATGAAGTAGGAGGAAGCAATGAGGAGGTTTCCTCTCATAAGGTTTGGGTCAGATGGATTTGGAGGCTGCACAGAACTCCATGTGAGGGTAAATACAGATCATGGGTTGTGTGTACTGTACTTATGTTAGATCAATTAAGTCTCCAGATTTTTGAGGCCAAACTTACATTGACCTGGACCTTTTACTGTGGATGGAAAATGTCATGGGAATGCATCCTGACAGAGAGATTGAACCTGTTGCTTTTGTATTAGAATTGCTCCAGTTCATAGGAAACATAATTCGTTTATGAGTGTGTTATTCTTCTGTTTCTAATTTACAGAAGACATTGAGTTCATAACAGCCATTTAATATTTTAGCTCTTAAAACATTTCTAGGAGATGTGGGATATTACTAGCTAATTTGTTATGATTCTATAAAGGTTAATATAATTCTTGGTAAAAGGCAGTGTATGAAGTGGTGGAAGGTCTTGGTGGAAGCAAAGATGATTTGCAAAGATAGAAAGGATACTGTGTGCTAATTAGCACGGCTGCTGCTTTGTGTATTGATGGAAGCTCACAGGCATTCTTCAGAAGTAGTCTGACACAGAACACATTGCTCCATCCCAGGTAGACATAAAATCACGTAGACTCTTGCCAGGTTTGACCATCTGGAACATTCAATGTGTTTCCATTAATTTGTCCTTTACCAGCAACACCACCTGGAAGTCAGCACTGGGTTACGGAGCAAGTGGAGACTGTAAACCTACTATAGTATTTTAGGGGAAGAGTACAATGCCTTTCAGAATAGATTGTAAACCACCACCACCCCACTACAAATGGGAAAATTCAGGAAAATCATTTTCATTTTGTCCAGATTATTTCATGCAGCCCTTTATCAAATATAGGTAGCATTCAAAGATATCTATTGGTTCCTTGTTATTAGATGATATGAAGAACAATAGAATTCAGCATCATCAACTTAGTGTTGGCAGTTTATTCCAAAGCTCTAGAGCAGGGGTTCCTAAACATTTTGCCATCACACCTCCCTTTAGTGTAATCTTAATGTACACACCTCCCTTAAAAATACAAAGACCAAAATGAACAATGAAAACAATACAATGAAACTGGGAAAGGTGGATTTATTGTAACAATATGCAGCTAAAAGATTCTTCACACCTCCCCGGATTCTATGTCTGTAACATCAGCCTGACAAAATGCAGCAGATAAAGCATGGAGAACTGTTTGCTTGGCAAATTCCATAGAACCCTATTTGGGTTAAAATGGCAACCTATTCAGGAAAAAAAGAAGAAGGCAGCATACAGTAATGAAGTTTGTAGCCCAAAATTCTGATCTGCTTTTTTCTGTATGCCCACTGAGCAAAACCTATGCTCCTTCTAGTAGAAGTTGCTCCACTAAGGGCATTGAACTTTTCCACTTTATGCATTTTTGTATCTGTGCTAAAAGTGAGTTAAAGGTCAAGTTCCACTGGCATTTGATACATGCTTCAAGGCTACCAGGGTTTAAAAGGGCATTGGATTTAAAGGCTATAGGAAATCAATATAGCTGTACTGGGAAGCATGCTTGAAGACTAAATTCTGTTCAGTTGTTCCCTGAATCCATGTTCTTCACTATGTTAACATTTGAGTTACTGATGTTCATCTGCCAATTAAGGAATTCCACTGTTATACAGATTAAATCTGTTTTCACAGAGAAACAATTGCCTGTTTGAGAAACAAAGGTTGTTCAGATTATTTCCAAATCTATGTATCGGATGATTATTTTCCTGTAACGGTGTTTTCTCCCACTCTTGATTACCTTGTGATCATTAGACAGGCAGCCTTTAAATGGAGTTGATAATTTTGTGCTATAGAGATACTTTTCCACAACAAATTAAAGCCCCAGGAGTTTTGAGGACTTTGATTTCTACAACCCTTAATATGAGCAAAGGGCACTTTCAGGGGAAGCGTATCCACTATGAATCTGGGAGGGCCAGTAGCAGTACGGGAGGCGGATGTTTTCTACAATATGGTGGTGGTCATGTATGTAGTGTGGCAGTTAACTTGTAAATGATCCTTTTAGTGAAATAGTTACTTGATAAAGGAAACCTTAACAGATTGTAGCTAAAAATAGCCCTTCCATGCCGACCTCTAGTTAAATGAATAAGAACAGAATGTGCTTCAAAGACCTGCAGGCCAAATTACTGAAAAGGTTGTGATCTCTGTACAGGACTTCTGCAGCACTAGCTGTTTTTCTTTTCCCTGGAAACAAGCGTTGCAATTCATTAAACATCGGATGACATTGCCATCTTCCCATCAATCGGATGGTCTTGTAGCTTTTTATTCATTTATTTTATTTATTTATATTTCAAATTTAGACACTGCCCATCTCACGAGGAAGTGACTTTTGAGATGCTATTGCCAGCTGCTAAGTTTGTACTAGTTCATGTGGACTTTGAAAGGATCGTTTGGTTTTACTGACGTTACCGTAGTTAAGCATGTTGTGGTTCAGAGCTACATGTCAGTTTTCATTTTTCTGTCAGCTCCACCGTCCAGTTTTTAGGTACTGTGGACTCTGGAAAGAGTAGCAGGTGTAACTATAGTTAATGGTTCAAACAATACTCCAAGCCATAGTTTAGAAACCTGCTTCTCCAAACTGTGGGTTCTGATTTTGGTCTATAAGCAAATCACAAGCTGTATCTATGAATTCCAATATCACAAAATCATATCTAAGCTACCTGAACCAATGAAGTGTGGCTTAATGTGATATGTAAAGCAAAAATAATGTTGATGTTGCGTAAAATGTTCGTGTTGATTTTTCATCCTTGTTTTCTGTCATGGTAATAACATGTGGAATAATTAACAGGAATAACAAATACACTGCACTTCTCTACTATGATCAGCTATAGAATCTTTTTTATTGTATCTGATTTTTATTGTTGTTGGGGAAATATGCATAATACCTGTTTGGGGTTTTCTGCATACTAATCGTGTAATGTTATTTTTTTAAAGATGCTTACAGGCTGCAATTCATGTAAGCCTTACACACAAAAACTTATAAAGGTATGTTCCAAGTTCAGATGATTCTTTAGGTAAAAAAAAATAAAGGAGAAACATGAGTGTGTAAAGGAAAATGAATTCATGCTTGAGTGATCATTTATAACACTAGAATTGCTGAAGGAATGTAATTACAAGAATGAGTTGATCTGAGATAGACTTCGGATAAATAAAAATAGTACTGAAAGTGTATGAAAATAGTTCTGTTTAGTAACATCTTTATGAAAAGAAAAAGCAAGTAACATCACAGAAGGATGCAGATGTATAAGGAACTTGGTAATAGATTTTCTGTACATTGCTTTATAAAATTATGATATTTTATGTTTCTAGAGTTTTCTCTGGGCTGTTCCAGTGTTGTCTCCCTCTTAGCACAACAGATCCTACTAGGGGGACATTTACATGCTCTCACATGTTCT